GCGCTGTACATTCACTCCCCCCATCTACAATCCCTGCCGGTACGAGACTCGAACCCACAACCTTTGGGTTACGAGTCCGACTCTCTAACCATTAGGCCACAACTTCCCCAAAAGTTACAAGTTAACTTTTGGGGAAGTTCCCCAAGTTAATAAAAGTATTATTACCAACAAACTTGTGTGTGTGCCACTTTGTGGTTGTCAAATGTTAGTAGAACCTGTCTACAGCTAATGCGATAAACTACCCACTAAAATTATAATCGGTCTAGTGTCTACATACTTATTGGGGCCACTGCAAGTCACAGACAAACAGACTATAACTAAATTACCTTTTGTTACTTCCCAATGACTCTAATAGTGCCGAGTCCTTGCTTCGGCTATTGGAACTCCCAGAAGACTCGTTGCCATGAGACTCATTTCCGTGAGAATCATTACCATGGGACTCATTGCCATGGGACTCAGTTCCACTCCCACTGGACCCGCTGCTCTTCATCTCCACATCCTCATGGAGGGAATGTGCCATCTTCCGGCTGTTGTGGGGTGAAGCAGGAGGGTCTTGGCTGCTGTCGCTACCTTCAGATGCCAGGTCAAGTTCGGCCCCCTTCACGAAACTACTCATACGATGCAGCGTCGCCATTGAACTGTATCCGGCTGCTTCATTCTGCCCCTCCAGTGAGGAGAACAGGTACGGTTTGGATCCCGAGTCCTCAGACATTGGAAATGGTTTGAAGGAGTGTTGCAAGGAGCCAGAAGATCACCCTATCTTCATGGTCGGGCACACAGAGGGAATGTAGACGACACTTGGATTTCTACGGGAATAAACAGACAGAAAATTAGTCAATCGTCTGAAATTTTCCATCTCAAAAATCAGAAGCCCTTGTCTTTCGACAAGTGGAATGTACGCTTATGTACGACAGACAGGTACGTCAAAAGAAACCAGGGCAAGATGGGACAAAGCTAATCTGGATGCGATCACTGCACAGGAGATAAAATCACCTCTTCAGTTGCACGCTCTTCTTCTAACTTCGCTCTCCATCAAAAGTAGAACCTCAAAAGTTGAAAAAGTCAAACTCACATCAAAGTGATGCATGCACAGCCCTGTCTGATCCACTACTGATCCACAATCTATAGACAGGCCAGCCTCTGTCTGGTCCCAGAGAGCCTAAACTGAGTGTTCAAAGGTGGGCATCTCTGGCATCCCCTCGTTGTGTCTGTACAGTGTCCTTTAGCCGAACAGATGTGGCATTTCGTCTTGTAAACACTGCCTCCTTCAAAGCATTAATCCCAGCAAGTGCACATAAAAGATGCTAGACAGCTGTCTGGACCAACAACAGGCCCTGACTGGTTTTCATCCCTTCATGTTGCCATTAAAATGGCAGGGGGAAAAAATAAACTCTTATCCCTTTGCTCTGAAGAAATAAATAGTCGTCTGACCAGAGCCAAGTTTCCTGGTAAGGAACTGAGATGGGCCATATTAAGGAAGGACACCTGATTCGTGACTTACCACTCTTTTACCCAACAGGATTGTATAGGATTGACAGAGAGTAGAGTATGTTAATGGATTACCTGTCTGACCAAGACCTGTCTAGATTTACCATGCATGGCTTGTATATTGTGTTATTACATACATACGGTACTGCTAGAACACCGGTGTGAACTTGCATCAAATTAATTCACTAAAAATGAAACTGCATCATTAATTCACAAAAAAAATGTGTGGTCAGTTGCTAAAACTCTTTGGAAAATGGCTCAGAAAACAAAGAATTTGTTTCTGAAAAGGAATAGCATGTTTTTCTTTGCAAATTCCACTTTTATATTTTGTGATTTATGCAATGAAATTTATACAATTCTTAAAACTTGCATATCCAAAAACATATGGGGGGGAAAACACAAAATAAACAATTAATAGAATAAAATGATAATATCTATGTTTTTTTTAACAAGTCTCTTCTGCTCACCAAGGCTGCATTTATTTGATTGATCAAAAATTCAGACAAAAACACTAATAATAATAATAATAATAATAATAATAACAAAAACACTAATATTGTGAAATATTATTAGCCTACAATTTAAAATAATGGTTTTCTATTTCAATGTACTTTAAAATATAATTTATTTCTGTGATGCAGAGATGGATTTTCTTCAGCCATTGCTGCAGTCTTCAGTGTCACAGTCACACATGATTCTTCACAAATCATTATAATATGCTGATTTATTATACTGTTGGAAAACCATTGTGCTGCTTATTTATTTATGTTTTTGGAAACTGTGATACTTTTTCAGGATTCTTTGACGAATAAAGAGTTAAAAAGACAGGCATTTATTCAAAATAGAAATCTCTTATAACAATAAATTACTGTCCAAAAATTGGGGTCAGTACAAAAATATAAAACAGCGCCACGGTTTCCAACATTGATAATAAATCAGCATATTAGAATAATTTCTGAAGGATCATGTGACACTGAAGACCAGCACAAAATTTGCCAGCAGAGGAATAAATTATATTTTTAAGAATATTATAATAGAAAGCCGTTATTTTAAATATAATTTTTTTTTCACAATATTTCTGTTTTACTGTATTTTTGACCAAATAAATACAGCCTTGATGAGCAAGAGACTTGGAAAAAAAAAAAATCTTACTGATCCCAAACTTCTGAACACTATGTAACATTATTTTTTATATATAAAATCAATGGCAATGCACATTTTGGAATTATACACTGAATTATATTTTTTAAATGCATCATTTTGACTTTAAATTCTGATTGGATTAGCCACAAATTATTTACACATATCTACTGAATGCTTTAGCTATTACTTGGTTGCTGGCCGAGCGTAGACGTCTGCCCTTTAATATCAACTTTTTTTGTCCTCTTGAATTGTTTGAGAGACATTTCTTTGTCGTTCTCATGTGTGAATAAAGCAGTCCTGCCCACTGTATAAAGGTTCCTGCAAAAATCATAGTCTTCGTATAATCACACACTTCTACAACCATAATGCCAGCACTGCCTGGCATGTACATCAATGGTTTAATTACTTGCGGCCCTACCCAACTCACACCTGTTTAAATTATTAGCACCAATGAGACATAAATATGTCTGGACGAGTGCCTACTGTAACCCAGTAACCTACAGGGTGATGACACATCGCCGCTAACCTTTGAATTTCCAGTTATATAGTAACTCACTGGTCAGGCACTGTGACACTGTTAATCAAGACAGAAAGTGAAATAAACAGACAGTATCAGTTATTAAGCCATATATCTGACGCAAATCACATAAGCTTATGCAAACCCCAGCACGTGAAAACGTGGCTTTCAGCCTTTCAGTGTGAATCTTTAACTATAACCTTGTAACCTAGTGAAAATGACTACTTTTGTCCTTCTTAAAAGTCATATAAATCAGGTGATCTAGAGATGTGACCTTCAAATGACACATTATTAGCCATTAATGTGAACTTTATTTAAACCCTATAAGGCGTCTTCCTGTGATACACTCTACCTGGGGGGCATGAAGCAGAACACTGCATTTTAATATAATTACAGCTGACAGACCTATATTGATATCTCTTTCTAATACAATCATAGGTACTATTGGGAACAGCACATTGGCTAATACATGATCTGCAGTGATTGGTAAAAACTAAACGGAAGAAACCATTTGAAACAATTTTGAAGCACATGAAAAAACCTTTTACTAAACCACATTGTTCCATAATTATGTGTGTAGCTATTACATTAAGACTAACTTTACAGAGACAAAGTCCATGCTATCTTCTTATTAGTATACAAGTATAAAAACATAAAAAACAAAGTAAATTGCAAGTGTACATTTTTTATTATATAATTTTCAATTATACACGCAATTCAAAGCAATCAATCCACCAGTATTCAAAATCCTTACTTTACAAGCCAAATTCATGCACCTCCCCGGCCTCTTAAGCAAACTTTGCCTGCTAAAAATATCATGTCCAAGTCCACTGCCAGCACTATTAAACAAGCCTATAGTCCCAATCTCACTGCCAATTCAGCATTTTTTTTTTTCAGGTCACTGACCTCAAAGACCAACAACTGCTACTCCATAGTAGATTGGCTGAATTCGGTTGGAATATAGGTCTGTAGCAAAATAATGTATTGCAAAGTATATCTGATCTACAGCATCTTTCATTACATTCTAAAACGACTTGAAATGCATACATTTAATATTTCTCTCTGTAACAAAAACAATATTGTAATGTTAAGCAAGTAAAGATCAGACAAAAAAAAAAACCTAAACCTAATTATATAAAACATGAACCACATAACCACCTTGCAGACAGTTTTATAACTCAGTATCAAGTTAGAGACATTTATGTAATTGTAGCAATTACATAAAGTAGCAATGGCACATGGACTACTTGCTTTATGTAAGGAGGACTTATATAAATTTACAGACAGCTCTGAATGCAAATAGTTCATATTCTTTGAATGTTTACATTTCAACACAATTGGAACTCATTATGTGATTATTTAAATACTATGCATTTTTTTGTGCATAGCAGTGAATTCGATTTAAATTTTATGTATTAACGCAAACTAAAACATGCATTAAGTGCTTCATTCATTGTCTCATGCATAAGTTTGAACTATGCATCAGAGACATGTGTTACAGAAAGACATTATCTAACATACATGACTACTCGTGACAATTATATATACAGCCTGCAATGACGTATAACGACCACATCCAGACCTATACAGTAGATGAGGTTGAGATTCATTCATTTTTGCGAGGGAAATGTGTGGCAAGCTATTCAAACATTTATTCTTTTTTTTTAACAGTCTCGACTTTTATGTTATTATTAGTAGTTGTTTTTTATTATTAATAATACATTACAATTACATTTTAACTATTAAATGGTACTGTCACTTATTCATTAGAAACTATTACTTATTGCGTATATAACCATACAAATATTACAGTTAGTAGAATATTTACTAGCATATATTCCAGTCATCCTATAACAAACTGAATAATAACAACACTTATTTATTGAACTATAGAATCTATTCCAGTTGTTACTAAGAACATTTTTAAATAAGTGTCTAACTGAATCCATACTAATTAGTATTCAAAGTGCTAGTAATGAATAGCTGTTAGTGAAACTGAAAAGGCTATTAGTTAGTATTTAATTTATTACTAGACATGTAAAAATAAGTACAAGTAACGAAAAAAAATAGCAGTTAGTTTTAAGAAATAAATGTTAAAATGGCTTGCCATGACAATGAGGCTGGTAGGCTGGCTCATAACTAGGAGTTCTTGCCTCATACCTTTAGCAAAATATGTTGCAGTCTCAGTAAATAGGGTGCATTTAAATTTTACAAGTTATATGGCTGTTTTTTGTTGAGGTAAACAAGGAGGACAAAACTGTAGTGATATATAGGGCTTTGCTCTGGAGCACTGACCGGAGATGACCTAATCGCTCACACAGTTATGCAACGCCTAAGTTTAATACATATAAAATATCAGTCTTTGACACATATTTGACCGAATTGATGTGTTTAACCTATGTGACCGTGCATCTATATGAACATCACTTTGTGTTCATGACACAAACTTGTTTATGAACACTGGTCACATTGCAGTCAATGGAAAGTGTTATACAACAGCTCAACCTCCGGCTCTTTAAAAAACGAATGTATCCTACCTGACAACTTTCGTACAGGATAGACGTCTCAAAACAGGTCTCAGTCCTGTCCGGCCAAGAGTCCGGCTAAATAAGATATATTCCTGAAATTCCGGTCAAGCCTCAGCGTCAGTTTGACACACTTCAGCGCTGAATGCTCTCTCACACCGCTGCACTGGATCTCCCGAGCTCGCAGCATGACCTGAATTCAAACTCCTCCCACCGAACGCTCCCATTGGTCAAACCCCGCTAATTTGCATGCGGCAAATGCGGAAATACCAGAAGCGCACTGTGATTGGCCGAAAGGACCGCCAGTCTCTTTACATAAGTATGTCATACGTCTCACGTGGACACCCATGGCCAGTGACGGCGTGCGCTGCGTATGGGCAAATCAGTAGTGAGAGAAAGCTGGTGAATGGGACGCTGACGAGGGAAAAGAGTGTGGTTGGTCCGGGGAAGCCGAGTACGCCGAGTGTTATACAAACGGTTATACAAGTGTGTGTACAGTCAATGTGGTCTCGCCCTGTATGCGCGAAACACGGCATGTGGTGCTATTAGAATAGCTTGGGTGGACGTGCGTGATTGCTCGGAATCATCCAGTAGATACATTAGGGATTGTTTATTTGCAGTGAAGTTGCATTACGTTAGAGTAATGTATGTACATTTATAATATATATTTATAACGATTAGTAACAATTTCCTATTCACTTCAGGCACATTTGGCATTTCATAACAGAACATCTCACATAACATCTCATACAGATGCTATTGCACAACATCTCATGTATTTTATAAACCCTTTTCTGCTTTTAATAACCAAACTGCATATTTTGGAGCTGCAGTGTTAGCACAGGCATATTTTACAGTCACTTTGCCTATCCTATTTCCAGATTTTATCCTTGTAGCTTATAGCCTATATATAAGGCTGTTTCAGAAAGCACTTTGGATAAGTTTAATAGTGCACACAATAATAAACCAGTATGAGTGGGAAACACTCTTTCTTTGCTTGGACTCTCTCCATCACCATCTGTTAGAAGATGCATCATACTGTCTTTTGCCAATATTATAATGGTGTTTTCTTTTTTCTGCATGCATCTATTTTTACTTCAAGAAAGTACACAGGCAATGTTCTGGTTTGACCTGCTAAAACAGCCATTTGCTTGATGGGTAAACTTTTTATTCTCTAGCGAATTGTGCTGATTGTGATTGCCACGATAATGATTTCGAATCATTTGCGTTTGCATAGCTCGTTATATTTAGTGCCATCTACCTTTTAAGCAATATCACATGAGCAAGAGTGCTGTTGTAGCCACTGAGTATGGCACAAGGCTGCAAGAAATCAGTGAGGACAATGCAACATTTCACATTTTAATTCCTTAGGTCAGGGGTGTCCAACCCTGCTCCTGGAGAGCTACCATCCTGCAGATTTCAGCTCTAACCCCAATCAAACACACCTGAACCAGCTAATCAAGGTGTTCTGGGTTGCTTGATAATTACAGACAGGTGTGCTGGAGCAGGGTTGGAACTAAAGTCTGCAGGACGGTAGCTCTCCAGGAGCAGGGTTGGACACCCTTGCCTTAGGTGATCAAGTTTAATAAAGAAAATTCTCGAAGAAGATGGATGAGATGATTTATATGATCTCTTTTTCACTTCCCTTCTCTCATACACACAGAGCTCTTTAAAAAAACATCTCAATAACATCAGATGGCATGTATCTCTTCCAATATGGATCCACAAGACTGCATATCAAATCATTCATCATACCAGACCAGTGGTTCCCAAACCTGTCCTGGAGGACCCCCTGCCCAGCACCTTTTGTATGTCTCGCTTATCTAACACACCTGATTCCACTCATCAGCTCGTTAGTAGAGACTGCAATAACTAAATTGGGTGTGTCTGATTAGGGAGACATACAAAATGTGCAGGGCAGGTGGTCCACCAGGACAGGTTTGGGAACCACTGTACCAGACCATTTCAAAAGAACTCTCACAGATACAGAAACACTTTCTTTCTGTCTGTCACTCTTGTTTCTGAGAATATTAAGCAAAAACATAGCCATTATAAATCCTCAGTTGCTCTCTGCTATACACAAGGCAGGTGTTTTATTATACAGGCAAATACATATCAAATCAAATCAAGTTTATTTGTACAGCGCTTTTCACCATACAAATCATTGCAAAGCAACTTTACAGCAAATTAAGTTTCTACAATATTTAGTGGTAGCTTATCAGTGGTGACTGTCAATTAATGTACATATGGCAGAAATGTACGGAAAAATCAATTTAAGACGTAATCAAACAGACGATGAACACTATTAACAGCAATTATTATATGATGCAATCAAACTAAGTTGTGATAAGTTGTGATAACAAGAAAACAACTTTTGTTATGTCGAGATCATGAGAAAAATAAATCATGATCCATGAGAAAACAACTTTTGTTATGTCCTGATAATGAGAAAACAATGTCGAGATCACTAGTCGTGATAACGAGAATACAACTCGTTTTGTCGAGATCACGAGAAAATTAAGTTGTGATCACGATAAAACAAGAAGGAAAAAAATAATAATGCATGGCCTCTTAGAACTTCCATACAAAATTGAATGTGCTTTTACAGAAATCAACTTTAAAAGCAATAAGTGAAACAAGTGAGACTACTAGCCAGGACTGGATGAACAGTATCCTCCTGAACTTTCATTTAGAAATCCATGTAAACTGATATCAAACTGTCATTCAGACTCAAGAACTTAGATGAAAAGAAAGTTCTGTTCTTTTTCTGTTACTCAGTATTTGCAGCATTTATAGACCTCAAGGTTGACTTTTTATTCTATTACGCTTTATTCTGTTGAAATGGGCAGGCAGGAAACAGTCTATTCTGCTCCCTGTCATGGTGAAAAGTCTCATCACAAGTGCTCTGGGGCGAACTATACAATGGACTGACAGCATGGCACAAGAAAAGAGGGCATGATTATACTTAAAGGGATAGTTCACCCAAAAATGAAAATTCTGGCATTAATTACTCACCCTCATGCCGTTCCAAACCCGTAAGACCTTCGTTCATCTTCGGAACACAAATTAAGATATTTTTGATGCATTCTGAGAGCTCTCTGACCCTCCTATAGACAGCAATATAATTAACACGATCAAGGTCCAGAAACGTAGCAAGGAGATCGGTAAAATAATCCA